GCACAGGACCGGGTCCTCCTGGACTGAACCTGAGAAGCTGCTGGAAGGCGCTGCCTAGCAGCTGCAACCCTGTTTCAGTGAGGAAGGGGCTGAAAGCTTTCTGTGACTGTTGGGCAGGAAAGGCTTCCAGATTCCACCCTTCCTGACCCAAGCCACCCCAGGGTGCCCCTTCCCATCTTCCAAAAGAGGCGGGGTGGGGGAAGGATCTATGGTGCCTGGCTAGCTGCACTCAGGTGGGAGTGGAGAATGGTGGTTTAATAGCCCAGGAGGACACTGAAGTAGACTGTCCCAGTCCATTGGGGAGGGCGTGGGGGAGCAAAAAAAGGCAAGGGACGGGCCTGAAGACTACTGACTAAGCCACGTCCTCCCTCCAGCCAGCTGTAGAAAATGAGAAATTTGGTGTTTCCCATCTGCTTTGCATGCATCCATTCCCATCTGCCCCTAGAGTTGAGGGAACCAGTGACAATATATTATCTAAAGTGGTCTCCAATAACAGCAAAAAATTATGGACCATACAAAGAAACAGGAAAGTATGACTCATATGTTGTGAAAAAAATCAGACAACAAAGACTGCCTGTGTAAATGACCAGATGGCAGATTTAACAGGCAAAGCCTTCAAGTAGCCATTATAAATAAATTCAAGGAGCTAAAGGAAACTATAAATAAAGAAAAGGATTCTCTGAGGATACCATCACATGCAATATAGAATACTAATGAAGCAAGAAATTGTTTTGTTTTATTCTTTGTCTTTTTGAGACAGGGTCTCACTTTGTAATTCAGGCTGGTCTTGAACCTACTTTGTAGCCTAGGCTGGCCTCAAATTTGCAGTGATCCTCCTGCCTCAGCCTCCTCAATGCTGGGATTAGAGATGTGTGTTACCATGACTGGCTGAGGTTATTTATTTATTTATTTATTTTATTTTTTCTTTTTTGAGATGGGGTCTCACTATGAAGTTCAGGCTGGCCTTGAGCTCACTTTGTAGTCCAGGCTGGTCTCGAACTCGAAACAATCCTCCCACCTCAGTCTCCTGAGTGTTGGGATTACAGGCATGAGCCACCACGCCCGGCTGAGGTTATTTTTTTTTAAAAGGACCAAAGGACTGGGAATATAGGTCAGCGGCATAAGTACCTGCTTGGCAAGTTCAAGGTCCAGGGTTCCTGAGGCACAGGCACAATGGCACATGCCTGTAATCCCAGCACTGAGGAGGTTGAGGCATGGAAGTGCTTCAAGTTCAAGGCCAGCCTAGTCTACTAAGTGTGTTCAAGACCAGTCTAAATCAAAAAGTGAAATCTTGTTTCAAAAAGGACCCAAAAAATAAATAAATAAAAATTTAAAAAGACCAAATAGAAATGCTAGAATTGAAAGGTACAATCATGGAAAAGAATATTTATCCTGGTCCTAACAGTAGATATGAACTGGCAGAAGAAAGAATTAGCAAATTTGAAGCTAGATTAATAAGTGATTATGTAATCAAAGGACACAAAGATAAAATGATGAAAAGCAGATTCTCAAAGAAATGGCAGCATTAAGTATAGCAACATGTAATGAAACTATCAGAAATAGAGAGGTGATCAGAAAAAATATTCAAAGAAATGATAGATGAGAAGTCCCCAAATTTACCATTAAATAATCATCTATACCTCCAGGAAGACATGTGAACCTCAGATCAAATAAATGGAAAGATAGCTACAGAGAGAACCATCAAGGCAAAAATACTGAAAACCAAAAGACAGAGCAAATCTTTTTTTTTTTTTTTGGTACTGGGGATCGAACTCACAACTATGTGTTTGTAAAGCAGGTGCTTATGACACTGAGCTAAATCCCCAGCAACAGAGCAAATCTTGAAAGTAACAAGGGAAAGATAATTTGTCCTAAAGTCATCCAACAAAGCTGACTGTGGTGGTGTATGCCTGTAATCCTAGCACTCTGGAGGCTGAGGCAGGAGGAGCATTTTGAGTTCGAGACAAGCCTGGGCTACAAAGTGAGCCCAAGGCCAGCCTGAACTGCTCAGTGAAATCCTGTCTCAAAAAGACAAAAAAAAAAAAAAAAAAAAAAAAAGGCATCCAACAGAGGTCTACAGCTGACTTCTGGGCAGAAACAATGGAGGCCCAAGAACAGTGGGAGATTATACTCAGAGTACTCAAAGGAAAATGCCAAGCACATAGATCCAAGAAATCTGTGTGTGTGTGTGTGTGTGTGTGTGTGTGTGTGAGGGTCTTGCTATGCAGTTCAGACTGGCCTTGATTCACTCTGTAGCCCAGGCTGACCTCAAACTCTCCATGATCCTCCTGTCTCTGCTCTAGCCTGCCAGTTACTGGCATTATGGATATGCATCATTATGCCTGGCTTTAAATCTTTCTTTTAGAAATGAAAGTTAAGCCATGCATGGTGGCATATGCCCGTACTTCCAAGCACTCAGGAGCCTAAAGTAAGAGAAGTCTAAAACTGAGCCACTTGGGCTATTTAACAAAATTGAGACCAGTTTGGGGTACACAGTGAGACTCTGAATTTAAAAAAATAAAAAAGGAAGGAGAGAAATGCATATTTTCTGATCAACAAAAATTGAGACCTTCTGGGCACAGTGGTGCATTCCTATGATCCCAGTACTTGGGAAACTAAGGCAGGAAGCTTGTGAGTTCCCGGCCACCCTGGGCTATAAGAGTTAGTTTGAAGCCAGACTGAACTACAGAATGAGGTGGCACATGCCTGTAATCCCAGCACTTGAGAGGCTGAGGCAGGAGGATTGTCATGAACTACATAGGGAGACCCTGTCTCAAAATAACAGAACAAAATAAAACATAAAAAACAAACCATTTGTGATGGTTATACCTATAATCCCAGGACTCTGGGAGACTGGGGCAGAGATTTGTGAGTTCAAGCCCACCTTTGGCAATTTAGCAACTTAGTGAGACCCTGTCCAAAAAAATATAGGTAGGCTGAAAATGTACCTCAGTGTGAAGGTCCTAGGTTCAATCTGCTGTGCTGCAAAAGCAAAAACAAAAACCACAATTGCATAAACTAATACAATGTACAAGTGGTTGCTGCTTAGGGTATAGAACATGCTTAGTATGCATGAGGCTGTGGATTAAGTCCCTAGAACTAAATATAAATAAAGTATTGTAGTGCCTTTAACATACCGAAATATATTTGCCAATCATAGCAAAAAGACATTGTGTAGGAGCCATGCGGTGTTTTAGTGAGAAAAATGTGTCCAGAGGATATCTCATATTACAGGGAGCCAGATGTGATAAATAATATGAACATAATAAAATGGTAAATATACTTGCTTCCCTTCCTTAGCATCATAAAAGACATAAACTTCTATGCAGTAGTAGTAACAATGTGCTGTGGTGCTAACATTTGCAGAGGTAATCTGTATACCAGTAGGACTACAAAAGGTGGGAGGGAATCGTTTATCGGAGTCACACTTTCATATCCACTGGAACTGAGTTACTATAAATCTGAGGCTAACATGAAAAATTAAGATGTTTATGGTTAACCCTTGGGCAGTCACTAAGAAAATACACTTAAGAATTGTTACAGCCACACACTTATAATTCCCAGCTATTTACAAGGGAGGCTGAGGCAGAAAGATTGCAAGTTGAGGCCAGCTTGGGCAACTCAGTGAGACTTTGTCTCAAAATAGAAAACGTAAGAACTGGGGATGTATGGCAGTGGTGGAGGGTGCTTGAGTTCAATCTCCAGTAATTGCACAGCACACACACACACACACACACACACACACACACACACACAGAGTGTTAGGGCCAAGAGTGCAGTTTGATGCTAGAACACTTTCTCAGCTTGAAGCATGCATGAGGCCCTGGGTTCACTTCCCAGCGGTGAGCTGGGATGGGATATACTTGGACATCCCAAAATGTTAGAACTAGTCAGGAGACTGAGATGGAAGGATCATTGCAAATTCGAGAGCAGCCTGGGGTACAAAGTGAAGCCCAAGGCCAGCCTCAACTGCCAGACCCTGTCTGAAAAAAAAAAAAAAAACCAAAAAAACCACTTGGAACTCATGCTTCAATGACACTATCAAAAAACAGGAGGATGTGCACGGTCCTGGGTTTGAGCCCAGCTCCCCAAGAAGAAAAAAGGTGTGGGGTGGGTGGCGGGAGAAACAGAGTGACAGAGACACAGATGCCTGGCTGCTCTCCAGCTCCAGAGCCTCAGCGTGGGTTGCTCGGTAGCCCTGCCCCCCTCCCCCGCCGTGACCTGGGTGTCAGTACTTTGCTCTATCTCCTCACGAGGAGGAGAACGTTATTCTTGCTGAATTGCAGTGGCCCGCACCCTCCAGTGGGATCCCGAGCAGGGAGAAAGGGCCGAGCTCCTCTTCTCCCTGGCTGAGGCACTGCCCTCCTCCACCCTGCAGTTTCTGCTGGTCTCCCCAGGATCCGTGTCAGAAAGCCCTCCTTAAGGAGGACCCTGGGGCACCTGGGGCCAGACACTTAAGCAGTTGAGAGAATTTTAGAGGCTGAATGGCAGAGTTAGAGCCTTTCACCCTCAGCCCTGGTGTTGGGTACGGTAGATGCAAGTGGGTGCCCTATTCATAAGCTGTACTCACAGAGTGGTTTGTTTTGGTTTTAGGTAGTTCTCCCTCTGTATTTGAGACTGGCCTTAGATGTTTTTTGTAGCCCAAGCTGGCCTCCAGCTCTCTGGGATCCTTTTGCTTTAGCTGAGTGCTGGGATTACACGCATGTGCCACCCCGCACGGCCAGAGAAAGATCTTTTGGCCTGGCTCTGACATCTTGAGTAAGCATTGCACCACTCCGAGCCTCAGTTTCCCCAATGTTCAGTGGTTTCTTCCGAGCAGCCAAAGCAGAAGCCCCCAGAGGGAGCCAACACGTGGTACCAACGCCCCAGGGCGAACCCCGCAGGTTTAGGCCGCACCAGCAACAGGGACAAAGGCGAGTCCAGGGCGGTGGAGGGGGCGTGGGGCGGGGCGGCGTGGGCTGGGCGGAGCACAGGCGCCTGCGGGCCGGACGTGGCGGGAGGCGGGGCAGGAAGGCAGCTGTGCGGGCTCCTGCAGTCCGGGTCACCGCGCCACGCAGGAGACACGTGCGTGCGGCAGCGCGCCCCAGCCTTGTTCCTGCAGCGCCCCCCCAGGAACCCCGGCCCGCCCCCGCCCCGCCAGCCCTCACCGCTGCCGTCTCTGTGTCGCCCCCTCCAGGCCTGCTGCTCCCGGGCCTGCGATCCCCGCCGCGCGATCGCGATGCAGCCCCCGGGCCGGGCGGCCGCCGAGGAGGCCGCGGGCCGCGACCTGCTGGCCGCCGACCTGCGCTGCAGCCTCTTCGCCGCCGCGCTGCGCAGCTACAAGCGCGACTCTGCGCTGCGGCCCTTTCCCGCCGCCTACGCCCGCGGCGACTGCAAGGACTTTGAGGCCCTGGTGAGTGTACCCCACCGGACCAAGTGGTCAAGGGAACCATCCGTGTCGGCAGACACATCCAGCCCCTGATCGTGCATCCCCAGCCGGTCCTCAGCCCTCGGGTCTCCACTAGCTAAGAATTTATCTAATATCCTGGGGTTGACACACTTCTGTCACCTGTGGCTGCTTCCTCCTGTCAATGACAGGTGACTTTTAGGAGTGAAATGAGGCGTTTAATAGTTGCATAGTCTTCCACAAAAATCACTACCTGGAAGTGGTGGCGCACACCTGTAATCCCCAGCACACCGGAGGCTGAGGCAGGAGAAGCGCCCTGAGTTCAAGGGCAGCCTGGGCTACATAGTGAGTTCAAGGCCAACCTGAACTGAACAACATAGCAAAACCCTGTCTCAAAACAAAATTTCTAGTGTGACCAGCGATGGGATGTTGATCTGAACCAGCTGTTTAGCCAGGAGGTTGTCCAGGCCTTTACAAATAATGAAATATCAAAAGTCACTAAAGCCATCTAGACTTTGACCTTAAGATGAGGTAACATGTGGTCATTGCTCTTAGAAGCTGTAACACCCAGGATACAGGTGACCTGCTACTTCTCTGATTCACAAGAACTTCAGTGTCTTGCAGAGTTCATGTTAGGGTCAGCATTCCAGGTCTGTTACCTTTGTCATCCAAATCTTTGGGATTACCTAGAAAAATATAATTTACCGTAATTGGTTAAATTAAAAATAGAAAGTCTGCACTCCATCGTGAGATCCTGTCTTAAAAAAAAATTAAAAATAGAACATCAGCCAGGTGTGGTGGTGCACACATATGATCCCTGCATTTGGGAGGCCGAGGCAGGAAGATTGTTGTGAGTAAAGTTCAAGGTTTTTAGTATCGGGAATTGAACTCTTGACCTCGGGCTTGCCAGGCAGGTGTTTCTACCACTGAGCTAAATCCCCGGCCCCAAGCCCTTTTTTTTTTTTTTTTTTAAAAGAACGTCAAAATAGTCTAGATGGTGAAAGACTTTGAATTAGTAGTCAAAAGATTTATTCCCTCACAAAACCCCTCTGAGCTTGTATGCTGAGTTGATCAATCACAGAAGGATTAAGTGATTTAAGATTTGTACACATTCTTCCAAAGTGTTGGGAGAGTCTGGGATGACCTGACCTTGACACTAAATCTGAGGCAGTTGATATTAGAAAAAAAAATTAACCTGGGTGTAGTGGTACACACCTGTAGTCCCAGCAATGGGGAGGCTGAGGCAGGAGAACTGTTGCAAGCTTGAGGCCAGCCTGGGCTACAAAGTGAGCTCAAGGCCAGTTTGAACTGCATAGGGAGACCCTGTCTTAAAAAGACCAAAAAAAAAAAAAAAAAAAAATTAGAGGTTGGTGTCATTCATAGTATAAATGCAAAACCCTTTCTGGAATATTACAGTAGAATCTAAAATCAATGAGTAAAAAAGGTTAATTCCATCGTGAGGTGTGGTGGTACACACCTATAATCCCAGCATTTTGGGAGGCTGAGGCAGGAGGTTTGCAAATTCAAGTCTCACCTGGTGATTGCATAAGATTCTATCTCAGAAAATGGTTGGGTATGTAGCTTAGAGCAAAGGCTCTGGGCTCAGTCCACACGATTGGAAACAAACAGAATGGTAGGGGAACCACTCCTTATGACCAAATTGAATTTATCCCAGGAACGCAAAATTAGTTCAACATTAGGAGGTCTTTAATGTCATCATATGCAGGATCAGCAGATCTTCAGAAGCAGCTCTGATGTCACTTTGCTATCATTCCGAGGGAGCTGAGGGACAAACAAAGGCTGAGCCTCCTGATGCTACCCGGCCCAGCCTCGCCCTGTACTGAGGGTGAGCTCAGGCCCGGAGCCCAGGCCTCACAGAGTCCTGCAAGTGTGACCTCGGGAAGTCAAGCTGACTAGCTTTCTGTCCGGTTTCTGGAAAGCTGATACACAGTATAAGGAGTCAGTGACATCAGATACTGGGGACAAAACTCACTTTAATTTTTACAACAAATTTCTGGAGCCCCTATGACAGCCCAGCTGCTGAGGACAGAGTTAAAGACTGAGGAGAGGCCTAGAGAAAGAGCTGACCTTAGCAGAGTGGCTCTGAGCCACTGCCCTGCCAACCTCTTGCCTTGATCTTTAGATTTTTACCCTGGGGCAGGAGAAAGCATAGGTGACATCTAGGAAGTGCAGGAAGGCATTGGTGACCTCTGGATGGTAGAGTAAGAGGAGGACCTGTTGAGGAGCAGATGGAGGATGAGCGATTGGGATGGGGAGATCAAGCTCACTGGAGATGAGGGCCCAACGCACGTGATTGTTCCAAGTGGACGAGAGTACTCTCAAAGGTACCAGTTGCTGTCAGTTTGGGGCGTGCGCTTATGCTGCTGAGCTAAAAATCCCCAGCCCCCACTTTTCTTTTATACTGGGGATTGAACCCAGAACCACATACCCAGTCTTTTTTTTTCACTTTAGACAGGGTCTCTCTAAATCGCTCAGTTGAACAGGCTGGACTATAATTTGAGCTCCTCCTGCCTCAGCCTCCCAGAGTGCTGAGATTACTGATGTGTACCACCATACCCAGTGCCAGCTTTTAAAGAAAAGAAAGTTTTGTTCCTTCTAGGTAATTTTGTGGTTACCTGAAGAAGACAAATATAAAAATCTTTCATTTGTTTAGACAAAAGCCCTTGGAAGTGCTGTGAGAAGGTTATATTACTTTCAGTAATTTAAATTTCGTTTTTTCCACACTACAGTGTGTTGTCACACACATGTGAGCTGTGGCTCAAATGACTTTATTGATGGTTTTCTGCGCTGAGTCCTCACTTAGATTCCACACTGGGAATTCTTTGCATCCCCAGCCTCTGGCCTGGGATGTTGGAGGATTCGCATGGGGTGGATATTCTGGCCCACGGGTTGGATAAGGTCTGTCCCTGTCCCGAGCTTGTTTCCCTGTAACTCTCACCACTCAGCCGATGCAGTGTATGGTATTACCACCTTACACCAGCCAATCGGTAGATGTGGGCGTGGCACGCCAATCTTTTGTTCATACTCTCAAAAAACTCCTAGGGGGTCCCAGAGTGGAGAATAGTTACCAGTTCTGACTGCAAACTTTTTCTGTCCCCAAATTATGGAACCAATGAGACTGAGCCCCAATAGGGGTGAAGTTGATTCTCAGGACATGTTTGTCCCGACCAGATTTAAGGTGCCTCAGGAATCCAGTACCAGCATTCATTGCTGAGCACGGGTATCATGGTTGGAAGAGTGGAAAGGTATGGGCAAAGAGAGGCTAGGAAGGATAGCATCCAGTTAGGGGCCCCTGGCAGGGGGAGGGCTGGCCCTATAGGGGAGCTCATCTGGGTTCACCCAGCCTTGCAAAGGTGCCTCCCCTTGACCACACTGGGTCCCCAAAGGCCTCGCTGGCTGACTGTCCGTCCACTGCGGGGGTCCCTGTGCCTGGGTCTGGACTGCAGCTGACAGCTGTGGACTGCACTGGGATTGGAGGACAGTAGTAGCAGGCGCAGCCATGGTGGTAGCAAGTGTAGATCCAGAATAGAAGGCCCTGGGCGCACTGGTGCATCCTGTAATTGCAGCACACTGAAAGGCTGAGGCAAGAGGATTGCAGGTTTGAGCCCAACCTGGGACACTTACTTACTTATTCAAACCTTGTTTCAAGGCAAAAAAATTTAAAAAGGGCTGGGAGTGAAGCTCAGTGCAAAGGCTCTGGGTTCAATCCTCAGGATGCAAACAAAAGGAAGGAAGGAAAGAAGAAAAGAGAGGAAAAGGGAGAAAGAAAGAAGGATGGGGAGATTGCTGAGATTGTTGAGCTTGTTACCTTCAGCAGGGTGCTGTGCAGTGGCTGTCTCTACAGGCATGGGGTCTGGCAGCTTCCTTGAGGTGCCCAATCCCATAGGGACATAGGTGCCCCTGCCTGGCAGACCCAGAAGCTGCTCTCCCCCATGCCTGTGCCCCATTTCCTGCGCAACCGAAGTCTCCCCTCGGCCCCCCAGTGATTTGTAGCATCTCAGTTATGGCACTGGATACTTTTTGTTTTGTTTTGGTTTTTTGGTGTCTTTTTCTTTTTTATCCTTACCGGGAATCGAACTCACAACCATACACTTGCAAGGCAGGTGCTTATGCGGCTGAGCTAAATCCCCAGCCCCAGCACTGGATACTTTTAAGTCACGGTTATTTAGCCCACTGGCAGTTGGCTGAGAGAATTTTAAAAGTCTCTCTAATGTCCCTCCTACACCCCCAGCACAGGACCTGGCACAGAGTAGAGGCTCTGTTTGGGTCCCTGGGTAACACAAGGACCAGGGCTGAGTGTGTGGCCTGCCCAGCCTGGGAGTGAGGGAGGCAGGTGGAGAGGTAAACAAGGTGTAGAGAACACCTGCTGATTGTCATGCTGGAGGCAAAGGCTCTGCTAAGCCTTTACCCGCGCTTGCATGTGCGCATACTCAAGGCCACCTTGCCCCCCTCCCTCGCCCTCACCTGCTGCCCTGACTCTGCAGCACAAGCAGGAGCCTAGCAGGGTGAGGACTGAACAAACCTCCTATCAGCTCAGGTCAAGGTTTATACGGAGTAAAGTTGCTTTGCTTTGTTTTGTTTTGAAACAACAAAAGCGTTCAAAGCTTTCAGAGTTTGGTATTATTTGAAAGAGAATCCATGACTCCCGAATTTCCCCCATAGGAAATTCTTTGGAACTGGAGGCGTGAAAGGGGCCTGCCTTGCCACTAGAGGGCGCCTGGCCATCACTTTGTCAGGATCCTTGCTAATGAAGGATTTTTTTTCCTCGCCAGCTTGCAGATGCCAGTAAGTTACCTAGCCTGAAAGAACTTCTATCCTCTGGAGACAAAGACCGGTGGGCCTGGGACCTGCTGAGCTGGATTTTGTCCTCCAAAGTCCTCACAATCCACAGCACAGGGAAGGCAGAGGTGAGATTTTGGCTCACACTAGTGACCCTGAGACCTCACCTTGATGCACTAGAAAGATCTGGGCAGCTGGGTGACACTGAAGATTCCTGGACCTCACCCTAGGAGATCCTCGTTTACCTTTCTGGGCCCGTGGCTGCTGTGGTTGAGGGTCTTCCTTTTTGTGGCTTTTTGCAAATCATCATACCTTTCTTCCTCATGAAATTATTAAAGATGGAATGCAGAAATAGCTGGGAAAGTGTTCGGAGCATTAGAAGCGATCGATATTTGGAAGGTGTGGTTTATGCTTCTCAGTTTGCTGTAGGGAAAAATAGTTCAGCACAAAGCACTCTTGAGCTGTGAGCGCTGTGTACATGAGTGTCGCTGTTTTTGTGAAACCTCTTTCTAGTGAGCTGGGTTGAACCCAAGGCTGTAGGAGGCTGTTTCTGCAGCGCATTTTACCAGCTTCTCAAAATCACAATTCCCTTTTTTTTTTTTTGTCTTTTTCTTTTTTATTGGTACCGGGATCGAACTCACGACCACACGCTTGCAAGGCAGGTGCTTATGCCACTGAGCTAACTCCCCAGCCCCTCCTTTTTGATTAGTATATGTTACATTCCTCTTGGGGAATTGCCCCATCTGCATATTTCATCTTAATCAGTTTTGCTTCCCCTTTGTCTCCTTTATATTTTCAAGTTTGAAAAGATCCAGCAGCTGACTGGTAGCCCTCACACGCCTGTGCCAGTCCCGGACTTCCTGTTCGAAATTGAGTATTTCAACCCAGCCAACGCCAAATTTTATGAGACCAAAGGAGAACGAGACCTCATCTATGCCTTCCATGGTAGCCGCCTGGAAAACTTCCATTCCATCATCCACAATGGCCTGCACTGCCATCTCAACAAGGTGGGGCTCTTGCTGAAGTAGGGGTGCATGGAGTAGGGGTGAGCATACCCTGGGGGTTAATGGGGACATGGGTAGGTTTGCTGAGGCCTGGCCACTCAGCGTCACATGCAGACTAGCAGTGGTACCCTTACCGGGAAACGTGTGAAGATGCAGAATCTTGGGCCCAACCTTGACCTTCTGACTCCTTGATTCACTTGAATTTTTTTCCTGTTACTGGGAAATTGAGCCCAGGGCCTTCACTACCTCCCCAAGTCTTTTTATATTTTATTTGCAGCATTGGAGACTGGACGCAGGGCCTTTGCACTGAGCTACATCCACAGCCCCTTTTTGTTTTTTTATGTTGAGAGAGGGTCTTGCTAAGTCTCTAAGATGTCCAGGCTGGGCTCAACTTGGACTCCTCCTACCTCAGCTTCCCAGAGTGCTGGGATTACAGGCACGTGTCACCATACCCAGCTCCTGCCTGCAGTGGGGCAAGACCTCGAGGTAATTCCTGTGTCCCTTACAGCTGGAGAAGCACAGGTGGTTCGCAGCCTTGCCTGTACATCTAGATTACTTGGGGAGCTTTAAAAAAACAAACCAACAGGCTGGGGATTTAGCTCAGTAGCATAAGCGCCTGCCTTGCAAGCAGGAAGTCATGAGTTCGATCCCCGGTATCGATAAAAACAAAACAAAACAAAACAATGCAGTATTCATCCCAGACAATTAAATCAGACTCTCTGGGAGTGAGGCCCAGACATCATTCCTTTCATGATCCTTGTGTGTGACCAACCCTAGCTGCTCAGTGTGGCCTATGGCCCCGCAGCATCTGTGTCACCTGCAGTCTCGGGCCTACCGAGATCCCAGACAGGCTGACTTCTGTCCCTAAGGGAAACTCCAGAATGTCAACTTGGGAGAAATGGATACACACTCGTAGAGACACAGAGGAGCCTGGGCTTTTCCCATCCTCCCTGAGCTGCTTCCCTCTCATGTTTTAGGGGCCCCCCCTCTGCTGGCACTCATGTCACCCCTCAGTGAGGTGTCAGAGGAAGACTGGTCATCTCTGTGGCTGTAGGCAAAATGATTTGAGCTTTCCAAGCCTCAGTTTCCCATATGTAGTAGACAAGGAGTCCGTTACCTCCACCAGGAGAGGATTGGGATGGTTCATGGGTACCAAGACTAAGCCCCAACCAGGGCCACTGGAGCAGGGGCTGGTTTTATGGTGAGTGCAGAGGGGATCTGGGTAGTACCTGGTCCAGCAGTGTCTGTCTTGTCCAGAGGGGCTGGCGCACTCCTACAGGTTCAGTGGCGCCAGACAGCCCTGAGGCTAGAGAGCCTGTTTCCAGCCCTGCTGCATCTGATTAGTCCTGGTGGGTCCAACTAAGAATGCCAGGCTTAGAATTAGGGTTAGGCTGCTGGAGTCCTCGGGCCTCCCCTTCACCCTGAGGCCAGCTTGGAAAAGCTGCTACAGGTCGTAGTTTTGCACACAACCTTCATTTCAGACCCCCTGAGGGAACTTGCTGCTTAAAGGTATCTTCTGAGAGTCCTTTAGTAAGCGAATCAACCCCTGACACTGTCTGCCTGGGTTTTGGTGCAGGGCTTGCTTGGGCGCTGTGGGATTCTTCTCATGGCAGAGAGACCCTGAGCTCCTCACTCTTACACCGTTCTGCTCACCGCAGCCTTGCAACAGCTGTTCACGTCTCGGGCAGGTATAGATGGAACACTGCTGAGTCTGATGAGAGGGTGCCTGGTAGCCTGGGAGAAAATCTGTGTCAACTTGTGAGGGTTGGAGAACTTGGCCAGGAGCTCCCCAAAGACTGAGCAAAGGTCTGTTTCATTTCTCCTAAGCTAAGGGACACAGAAATGTGGCAGCCTGGTGCCACCAAATAAGACATTTCTCAATTCTAGAGCCCAGGATGTGCTTGAGTGAGCCCTTCAGGGCCTCCCATCATCTGGAGCTACTGATACTGTGGCTCCTGGATGGCCGTTGAGCCTCAACTTGAATATCAAAGTCCACCCACTGGTCACAGCTACCGGATATGTTAGGAGGTAGATTCTGAGCCAGTATATGTAGGAGCCAGGATCGATTTATTGTGTTGGCCATCGCAGTTGCCTATGGATGTGTTTGCCACACCTGCTGTGGCCTCCACTTGCAGGTACTTTGCCTGCTGTGGTTCTCAGAGGATGTCATTGGCACCCACCAGGAGGGAGCTGCCACCTCGAATGTGGGGCCTTTTTCTTAACCAACACCTATATCAGTTTGGAGTACAACTTACCCTGGCTCTCCATCTGCTTTCTGAATTTGGTTACAGAGTCTGAGGGACTCATTTCTTTTCCAAGGGATGACTCAGAATGCCCTCTTCCGCAGGTGTCGACTCCTCCCTGTACACAAGGGTGTGACTTTACTTTCCTAAGTCTCTCAGTGTGACTGAGTTAATGCATTCATGTAACAGGAGGAATGATCTGGGCTATAATGTAGGAGCCTGGGGTGTGGTATCCACCCTTGTCTTCATGATGCAGGTGCCCCACGTGATGTTTTCTGTACATTATTTAGACCTCACCTACAACCCGATAAAGGACATGCTTTTCACGGCATTTTGTAGATGGAGTAGCTGAGATACGGTTTATATGACCTTCCAGGTGGTTAGTGGACTGCTTGGATTCTGATGTCCATGTTTTTCCGACTCAAACCTTGACCACAAGGCTAGGTGGCCAAATCCACAATCAGTTAAACAGTTGTCCTCTGGAACGTGTTCAGTCACAAACACTGTGATGATGTCATAGGTTATGTGATCTTGTGTCCCAGCGTCAAGGAAAGGAAGTTTTTGTGTTTCTAGCTCCGTTAAAGAAAGACCCATGCCCACTCTCCATTCACACATAGTGTTTCTCTTCTGTCGGCCTCTGCCACTGCAGACGTCCTTGTTTGGAGAGGGGACCTACCTCACAAGTGACCTGAGCTTGGCCCTCATTTACAGTCCCCACGGCCACGGGTGGCAGCACAGCCTTCTCGGGCCCATCCTTAGCTGTGTGGCTGTGTGTGAGGTCATCGACCATCCGGACGTCAAGTGCCAGACCAAGAAGAAGGGTGAGTGAGGCCCTGCTGGCGCCGTGCTGCGGCGTCCATCAGGGCGCAGCCAGCTGGTATGGAGCAGCGTGGTGTGGCAGAGGTGGGCTGGGTCTGGGCAAGCTGAGGCAGGAAGATCATAAGTTTGGGGCCAGCCTGGGCTACGTGGAAAGACCCTGGTGAGAGAGAAAGAAAAGAAAGGGAGGGAGGTGGGAGAGAGAGAAAAGAGGAATATAAACTTTGGGAAGAATTTTTAAAAATTCTGATTTAAAAACAATAACAAATTGTTGTTATTATTATTATTGTTATTTTAGTATTGGGATTGTGCCCAAGGTCTTTGTTTTTATTGTTTTTTTTTTTTTTTTTTGTCTTTTTGACAAAATAAAAGGGTCTCACTAAGTTGCCTAGGCTGGGCTCAAACTCACACCCTCCTGCTTAGCCTCCCAGCATGCTGGGGTGAGAGGTATGTACCCTAGTGTCCAGCAGAATTTGACAAATGGAAGTGTGTGTGTGAGGCAAGGGCAGGGGCTCCTCAGGGCTGGAACGAGCTCTGATTTATTCCCGGGCACCTGGTGTCTGCAGAGTCTGGTTTGTACTTGACATTCAGCAAGCATTTGGTAAACGAAAGGGAAGGACGCTGGGTCCTAGCCCTCCGAGCTACTCTGGTGTGTGTGGGACACTCTGGGGACACGAGGGGCAGCTGAGGCCATGGATGCTCTAGGGAACAGATGATGGGCGGCCACCTCTCTGCACTGCCCTGATGTGTCCTGTGGGGAGGAAGCGTCCAGGACTGCCATTCAGCCTCCAGAACCGCCTCTCCCTCTTTGCTAAGAAGAGGTGAATTCAGAGCATGGGCTGTGGTGGCCTCTAATATGAAACAGCTGGAATCCTGAGCAATGGGACCTGGTCTGACATCAGCCTCCTGAACCAGACGCCATGGGTATTTATTTGCAGTTGTAATTCTTAGGAAGTTTGCAGAGTGTGACATTAAACATCAAAAAACCAGGCTTCGCGGCCTTGCTTGGCACGTAGCTCCGGCCTGGCTCCCCGTCCTTGAGAAAGCTTTTTCTCATTATTTAAAAAAAAAAAAAAAAAGTTTTTCTGGTTTTGAGAGAGATCTTGGTAGGAAAAGTGGAAGAGAAGTGGATGAAGAAGCTCAGATCTAGCATGGTGTATTCACAATGCCTCCTATGGGCCTTGTTTCAGATGAAGTCTTCTTCCCAGCCGCAGAGATTTTTGCTGTGGTTGTTTTTGTTGGGCTGTGGTGTTGTGGTCACCAGTATGCCTCTTTTATCTGCCTTCTCCGTTTGGTTGTTTTGTTATTTTCTTCGGATCTTTTTTTTTTTTTTCCCCCGGCCCCCTTAAAACAATTTTTTTTTTTTTTTTTGTCTTTTTCATTTGTATGGGTACCGGGGATCGAACTCACGACCGCCTGCTTGCAAGGCAGGTGCTTATGCCACTGAGCTAAATTCCCATTTTCTTCGGATCTTTTATACTTTCATAGTTTTCTGTGCCTTTTTCCCTCCTCTCAACCATCTCTCTGCCTACCAGAATCTCCTGCTCATTTGTTTGTTTTCCACACCAGAGATTGAACCCGGGGCCTTAGCACTGAGCGATATCTTCCTGTTGTTTTCATTTTTGTCTTTTGAGATAGACTTGCTAAGTTGCTAAGTTGTCCAGGCTGGACTCAAACTTGCGATCCTCCTGCCTCAGCCTCCCAGCACGTGAGTAGTACAGGTGTCATGCCACCGTACCAAGCTGGAGTCTCCTGTTTTTAGTGCTATTTCACCAACCCACCCAGACCCATCCCTCAGCCTGCCGGAGCTTCTGTATCTTTAGGACCAGGAGACCTAACTCCTTTCTATTCCTGATGTGCTTCTTTAGTTCTTTGGTTTCCTCCCAGTAAGTGTGTGCCTTACTCTCTTGATTCAGATTCCAAGGAGCTAGACCGCAGCAGAGTGAGAATCAAACACAGCGAGGGAGGAGACATCCCGCCTAAGTACTTCGTGGTCACCAACAACCAGCTCCTGCGAGTGAAGTACCTGCTGGTGTATTCGCAGAAGCAGCCCAAGAGGTGAGACAGTAGATCTGGGCCTGGGGGGCGGTTCAGGGTACAGTGCATGCTAGCAAGTGTGAGGCCCTGGGTTGGGCTCCCAGCCCCCAGAAAAGTACAAATAAAAAGATGGTCCTTGCCCAAAGACTAGGAGACCAACTAGAGCCTGTGTTCAGGGAAGTAGTTCCTTTTTTTCAGTCTTGCTCTAAAAGATAGAGCTATATGTATATTTTTTTCCCGTACTGGGAATTAAACTCAGGACCTCATCTTGCCAGGCAGGCACTGTGCCACTGAGCTAAATCCCTAAATCCCTGGCCCTGGGACAGATATTTTAATGAAGAGTGTAGAGAGATTTTAAATATATCTTTTCTTTTGATTGAAGAAAGCCAAATTGGCACCCTCCTTTGAGAGAGAGAATGTGTGTGTGTGTGTGTGTGTGTGTGTGTGTGTGTATGTGTTTGAGCCAGATCCTCATTATGTAGTTTAGGCTGGCCTTGAGCTCACTTTGTAGCGCAAGTTGGTCTTGAGCTTGCAGTGATTCTCCTGCCTCAGCCTCCCGAGTGCTGGGATTGCAGTGTGCACCACCACTCCCAGCTAGTCCCTGGGCCTTTGATTGGAGTCAGAAATACACTGCTGAGGTTGTGCTGAGAGGCAGGATGGACCCTGGTGAGACTGCGTGTGCCCGCTTAGTCCTTCCCTACAGTGGCTGCTGAGCCACTTCCTGTCTCTCTGAGGACCTGAGGTGCTTCAACTTTACCTCTAAGATAGGGCGCTGAGCCGGGGTGTGGTATACTGCTTACACTGAATCAGCTGGGCTTGGTTGTGCATGCTTGTAATCCCAGTATTTAGGAGACTGAGGCAGAGGGTTGTGAGTTCAGGGTCAGCCTGGGATGTATAGCAAGTTCAAGCTGGGGGTTGAACTCCTGTCTTTATGACCCTGTCTATGGAAAACCCTGTCTCAATAAATAAAAGGAGACCTCCCAATCAGGGCCTTTAGCTCCACACAGCCGCGGTGGGATGCCCAGGGCTATTGCAGCGATGAGATACTGGGAAAAAATGCCAGGTTCTCAGGGCTGGACATCACTCAGGGATCTTGGTGCATGTTTGATCCATGATAGAGCTTCCTGTACATGAGGGAAGCAGGTGAACAGCCATGAGAGGAAAAGGGGCCACTTTTGGTATTGTCGCCCCTGCTTATACACAGCAGTGGTTTCCATGGTTCTGGATTGCATAAGCCAGTAAAATCCCTGAACTCAGAAATCCACATAGGTTCTTTGAGTCTGGGCTGTGTAGCAATTATCCTTCGGTTTAAATATCATCTGACTTTTTCCACCTGAAAGTTCCATTCCTTTTCCTCTTTCTCTTGAAGTGTATCTTTTGTGGATGGTTTAGAACATCTTTTAGTAGGCCAAAGAGGATTTTTCCAGCCCAGGTCTCTAGATGTTGGTAGGTTTCTTATCAAAGACATCTGTGTATGTCTGAAAGTGAAAAGGTTTTTGCTAAATAATCCACCAACATCTAGAGACCCTGAGCTAGGTCATTCTTCTAGATTCCAAAGTCTCGCTTAAGAAAAGATGGGTTATGAAAGATAAAAGAGAAGCTGGGTACGATGATGTACCCTGTAACTCCAGCTACTTGGAAGGCTGAGGCAGGATTCCAAGTCGCGGGCCAGCCTGGGTGACTTAGTGAGAGAGATCCTGTTTCAAAATGAAAAATAAAGGGGCTGGGGATGTAGCTCTGTTGGGAGAGCACCCCTGGGTTCCATCCCTAGTACCGGTGGGGGAGAAAAAAAAAGAGACTGAGTGAGCTCACTGCATAGCTGTCTCTGTGAATTTAGAAAATGTTCCATTAAAAGGCACACTGGTGCCAGGGCAGAGAGCCCCACGGTTTTCAAGCAAGAAGCACAAAGCTTCACTGCACGGCTCCCGCAGAGAATGGAAGTCATCATTTCATCCCCTCTGAGCCAGGGCCTGCTGCACACACTTACCAAAAAACCGTTTTGCTCTTGTTGCCAACATGGCTCATTTTTCCCTCATGCAGGGCTTCCAGCCAACTGTCCTGGTTTTCCAGCCATTGGTTTATGGTCATGATGTCCCTGTACCTGCTGCTGCTGCTTATAGTGAGTGTCATCAACTCCTCTGCTTTCCAACACTTTTGGAATCGTGCGGAGAGATAATCTTTCAGGGCCCATAATGGGGGCCACCTTAGCCATGTGCCTTGTACTATAGCTTGTTCTCTACCTCCTGTGCCTCATGTCCAGCCAGGCTGAGCCTAGGGGACAGTTCGGGAACCACAGGACGGTCTCCTGTGTGCCATGAGTGTACTGATTGCCTTGGGTCGTGCTCCCCGCCGCACTCCGGGCAGTGAGGATCCCAGTTCCCCCTTCCATCCACTCTCTCCTCAAGGATCCTACAGGGTTGACTCTTCAGCCAGGGCCAAAGGAAAAGTCCTGCCACGTTTAAAAACAAAGTGTCTGAGCCGTCAGCATCAGCGCGTGTTTACTGTGGCTCCTGGCAGAGGCTGGCTTTTCTTGAAGCCTTCTGGAAAGCGGGATGCCTGTCATGGGGACTGTAAATCACTAGGCAGTTGCCTTGTTTTGACTTGAGACATTCAACAGGGACGGCCGTGTTTCTCCTAAAAAAAATCAGCGGGCTTGTTTTTGGATTCCATCAGCTTTTGTGTGTGAGCACAAAGCATTTTCCAGTTTTCTCGAATCAACAAACAGCCTCCTGCTACAGCTGAATCTCCCTCTCCCAGACCATGGATGAGGATGGAAGGAACCAGAGGCCTGATTTAAAAATAAAAAATAAAAAACAAAACAACACAGACTTACCACTGAGCAACTCGAGTCATCTTTTTCTACAAATTACCAACTACCGATGATGGCTGAAATGGGACCAAATGTTTGTTTTCTGATTTTTTTTTTAATAGCTGTTTGACAACTAAGTCTTTGTGAGCAGAGGGAGAGGGGGAAATTTCCCCTTCTAGATCACCACCTGGCCAGGATCCGCAGCCTCTTTGCCGGCTATGATTTAGAGAGAAGTGGTCGCTGAGCCTCGGGCTTGCTCCTGCTCACCTCCTCATGAAGCTGTCTTGATCCTTGATCGCGCCTCCCAGCCACAAGTGCCACACAGCTGGCTTTCAGGCCACAGAGTCATGGGCAGAGCTACCTGCAGGGGGCGCCGGGTCTTGAGGAGGCAGCCCTGCTTGGTGACCTCCGGCCTCTTCCACCTGCTAGGTTTCAGCTCTAACAAATCCCTGTCTGTTCTGGGTACTGGATTTTTAGTAGAAGAGGGAAGATCATTTTTCTATAATTTGTAAAGTTGTGAAAAAGCCATTGTCACAGTTTTTACACTGACTGTTGGGACATTTCAGAAATAATAAAGATATTTTCCTAATTACCAAGCTGTCTTTGTGACCACTGTTGACCACTTTGCTGCACATGCGCTGTGGTTAGAAATCTTAGTGGAGCTTTCCTTGGTCTCGGTGGCCATGTGGTGGGCATCAGATAGGTGGGACTTCTGGTCATAGAGCACCAGGCACTAGGGACACAGCAAGCACAAATGCCCTTCAAGGTGGTACGTGCACAAGCATCTCAGGAGTGAGGTTGGCACGGTAACGGCATCCTGGAGACCACTTGGCACAGGGTCCTGATGTGGTCTGGGATCGGAAATTGGAGCTGACACATGGAACGCATGTGGTTGTACTGATTTCTTTTCCGTAATCCTTCCCGGCTGAAAGAGATAGGAGCTGAGACTGCAAGAGCTCACCTGAGGGTTTACAGCTAGGAAGTAGCAGAGCCCAGAACGGTAGCTGAACCCAGAACGGATGGGTCCATCTCTTTTTTTTCTTACTGGGGATCAAACTCATGACCTCGCACTTGCCAGGCAAGTGCTTGTGCTGCTGAACTAAATCCCCAGGTCTTAGCATCCATCTCTTAATCAAGGCTCCCTGCCTCCAAAAAGGGTGACATTTACCTGCAGCCTAGAAGAGGAAGCCTGCCAGCCATGGTGATGCACATCTACAATTTCACCACCTGGAAGGCAGAGGTAGGAGAATCATCATGAGATCAGGGCCAGCCTGGGGTACATAGTGGATTAAAGGCCAGTCTGAATTACATAGTGAGACACTCTCAAAAAAGATGTATTTTAGGCTAAGAGAGAGGAAAAGTATTTCAGGCAGTGGAAACAGCACATTTGAAACCCTGGAGTTGTGGAAGTAAAGGAGCTGTAAAGAAAGAAGCAGGGGAGGAAACTGGCCTGCAGAAGTTGGCAGGGCACGCGTCCTGAGGGCCTTAAAAACCACGGTCCAGGGACAACATGAAGGGGATTTACGCAAGAAAGATGAAATTTCACTTTCTGAAAAATCACTCAGGCTGGTAGTTGGGGAATGGATTCAGGATTCTCTTGATTAAAAGAGCTGGGAGGATGGAGACTGACCCCAAATAAATACCTGAGATGCGCTGTGTCCTATTGTTGCTGTTGCTTGTTTGTGATGGTCCAATAGAGCAGGAATCCTGCAAAGGCCAGAGCAGACGTGTCCAGAGGAATAGGAGGAAACCAAAAATGTGACTGAGGCTGGAGAGGGGAGGTGGATGAGCAGTGTCCACGCTACAGGAAATCAGGATTATGCCTTCGGAACATCGGTTGGGTTTGCCACTGGCGTTGATAGGAAGTTTGGCGGGAGGGTTTCCGCATGGCTGTGTTGTCTTGGGCACAGTGTCCAGGAGGTCTCAGTTCTTCAAGACCTGGCTGTACACCTCAGATTATGAAGCCCTGCTTTGGCTTGAGTCTGGTCTTGTTCAGGCAGTGTTTGCCTCTTTTTCCTGTTTTCCCTGCCCTGCCCCAATAAAACAGGAATGGTAATGGGTAAATGAAGAACAATCCTACCCCGTGGAGGATCCTCAGACCATAGTGTGTGGCCAGAGGAAAGCAAATGGCCAAGTTGGTGCAGATGGAGTAGGCAGGAAGGGAGACAAGCACAGAGCTCATTCTGACACCAAGGGATCTAGGGCACTTTTGTCTTGGTAATCCTCCTTTCTCTGTAAGAAAATACTTCAAATTATATTTTACAACTGCATTGGTAAATGCTGAAAAACTGAAAACATTCTTTTTCTTCTGATTTCAAAAGAAATGAAAAAATTTTTGTGATGGGGGCCTTAGCCACTGTGCCTGCTTTACCTAATGGATGAGTTGGCCCTGGGTACCTATGAATACAGCAGCGAGGAAGGGGAAAAGCTTCAAGGAGATTCAAGGCTGTGTGTTGCCCCAGCTCCAAAGCTAAGACACATGCCATAGGCCCATCAGCCCAGGGAAGGGCAGGTTTGGGGGTGCTGGAGTTTGGGAGCTCAAGAGACTGGCAGCACCCTCCATAAGTGGGGAGGAAGTGCTCTCCTCAGTGACAGAGGGGTCCCCAGACCAGGAGCTGCACAGGCAGCTGGCAGCGGAGAAGACCACATGGGGGTTCAGTTGCAGCTACCTTATCTTGGGGTCTGTGTCTTGTGAAAAGTAACTCCTCTACCTCTGCCACTAATGTCCCACTCACGTAGGTGGGGAGGGCATAGCTTTGGGCGAGGTGGCAGGTGGTACTGTCACAGGCAGGGCAGGGACCCTTAAGAGATGGGGTTTTACTGTGGGGCTTTGGGCTAAGTGTGTGCGTTCTGAAGACAGAGATGAAGCAGGTGACATAAGTCAGTGTCATTTCTGATGAATTCCTTTCATTAAATGCTGCCTGCATCCAGGAGGTGGGGAGCTGGTGATTTAAAGAGCCCAATTCAGGTATTTGTTTGTAGACCACGTGTGCAGCACCATCACATCTGAGCCATCCACTGCTGAGCCCGGAGGTTGTAGCTGTTACCATGGTGATTCTCAGGCCCTGGACTGGATTCAGCCTCCTCACACGAAACAAGAGCCCCGCCCCTCCTCCATGCCCCACCCCCATCTCGTCTTTATTTTGCCTTTGTTGTCTCCCCCACTGGAGTTTCTGTTTGTTTCCAAACTGTCTAGGGTTGAGCACCATGGAGAGGTCTGGGCCTGGGCTGCCTCTAGTCCTGATCTGGTTCGAATAAGCCCCTGTCCTCCGCAGGCCCCTCCAACTGACCTGACATTTTAGAATGTCCAGAACAAACCACGACATTCGCAGCAGGACAGACCCCTCCATCTCCTTCCACTCCGCTGGTGCCCTTGTCCACATGGAAGGGTTTTTTTTTTCCCCGAAAATTTCCAGCTTCTGCTGCAGCGTGGTTGGGAGACCAAAGCTTAAGCAGCACTCATGGAAGCCTGGGTTCCAACCCCCGGGCTGCATCTTGCTTGCTTTGCTTATGTTGAGAATGGAGTGGTGAATTTGATGCTTCCTGCATTAAAATTCAACTGCAGGTTTCCTGAGGGCAGGGCCTCAGCTGGATTCTTTGGATCTGCAGTACATGAACATATTTCCTGCACTCTTTTGCATTTAACCTTTGGGTAAATACTATAAAATAACCTTATGGTCTTGTAAACTGTCTACAACTATCCCACCGAGTCCTGGGATGCTGTTTGAGTATTAAAGCCAGTGGTGCCTAATGCCAAGCGTTGCCCTTGGGTGATTGATAAATTCCTTCCTAACAGCTGAAACTGGGACTTGTGGAGAGGGATAGGGAGAGACCTTAACTGATATTTTTTGCCATCCTGCATTAGCGTGGTATCCACTGAAATGTATTAACCATAGAAAGGCATGACATTCCAGCTCCAAGTGGGGATTGATGAACTTCACCTTTTGTGACCTCCGGACTGTCCCCACAAGGCGCCCAAACCTGTGCAAGATGAGAGATGCACAAAGTACACAGAAGGCCAGTGTGATCTGTTCTGGGGCCTTCTGTGGCCTCGGTGTCGAGGTGCCTACTGGCTTTGTCCGGGCTCCTCTCTGGAAACGCTTCCTACCTAGGAAACACTTTGGTATTCTGAGGCTTGGAGGTGGCACTGGCCAGATGTGATGGGGCTGGGGTTTTAGGGTACACAGAGGAGTCTGGAAGAGAAGAGATGGGACTGCAGTGAGGGGCAAAGACCCTGCCACCTAGCAGGTGCCTCCTGCAGGAGGCACATAGTGAAAGAGTGAATGTTTGCCGTGTCCCAGCTGGGAAGACACCATCATCTGTGCAGAAGAAATGGGTTTGGGGAGATGGCCAGAAAGTAGCAGGACCAGAGCTGACCCCAGAGCCGGACTCTCAGCCAAGTGGGCATCAGGGTACCATAGTTCTTCCAGGGGCTGCACAAGCAGGACGGGGCAGGGCAGGTGCTGTCAGGAGGCTGGAGTGTCAGCCTCAGACACAGGTCCTTTTCAGGCCCAGGCCATTAGCTTTGCCTTGTTTTTTTTTGGTCTATTTTAAGACAGGGTCTCACTAGGCAGGTCAGGCTGATGTTGACCTCACTTTGTAGCCCGGGTTGGTCGCAAACTTGCAATGATCCTTCAGCCTCAGCCTCCTGAGTCCTGGGATGCACCACCATGCCCAGCAGCTCTGCTTTGTTTTATAAGGAGGCACCTGCCGTGCAACAAGTGGGTCCCTTGGTAGGGTTCCCCTGATGCTCACTCTCATAGCCAGAGTCCTGGGCTCAGCCCGGTTGTCTATCCAGCCCTGTCTCTGCAGGACCAGCAGGTAAATGCAGAGACACTGCCTCCCTTCCCACACTGCTGCCTGTTCCGAGCTCTAGCCGCCAGCCCGCTCTGATTATGATTTCTTTGAGGCTGAGCATCCAGGGCTGCTAGCTGCCAAATCCTCCTGATTGTCCAAGATGTTCCCGACATCCAAGAATAAACAGTCTCCCCTGCCTGGCTAGCGGTGCTGAGCCACATTCCTGGCTTGGCCCGCCTGGTTGGTGAAGTTGCAGCCCGTGTCTACCTCCAGCAGAGGCCTGGGGGACCTGGCGAGGGGTGGTGGTGGGATGCAGGAGGTCACCATGTGTCTCCAGTCTGGGTGGGACATTCTTCTCTGAGTCCCTGTTTTATTCCTGTCCCAGTCACCATAGCCTCCAGCTACTCCCAGCACAAACCCTGAGCTTTGTAATGCACCAGGGACTGTGCTGCTGTGCCCTTTACTTGTGTCCATTAGATGCCTGGGGAATTCGAGACACCTGCGTGATTCTAGCTAGATCTGGAGTCATGACAGATCATTTTACTGAAACAGACAGAGTCAAGGCTGAAGGGGGACCAGAGCTCTGGCCTTTGATTCCGTGACCTCAGGCTACGGTGGCCACTTTGACCACAGTGACGTCAGGGGCTCTGAAGGAGAGGAGCTTCCCATGTTTTTGGAGAGGCTTAGGGGTGTTTTCATCTGGGTTTGTTTTGCAGATCAGACTGGGCTGTTTCCTGAGGAAGCAAGTCCCCTGGAAAGCACCGTCCTCTGGGTGCTCCTAAATCATCCTGTCGTGAGCAGAGCTGGGCAGTGGCACCTGGGTGCAGCTCTGCCACTGTCAGGGCCCAGCACCATGCACCTGGCCAGGCCACACCATGCCATAGGACGGGGCTGGGGGACCCAGGGCAGAGTTCTCAGACAGGGGAACAACCCCAACACATACATCTGCTTTGCTGCCTGGGCCGGCAGGGGAGGAGAATGCCGTCTCCTCAGCTGATCTGCAGAGGGGGGTTTCCTGGAGGAACCCCTGGCTGGTGCAGCTGGAGGGGAGGAAGGCAGACAGTGTGGGAGCCCTGGGCAGCCCATGGGTCTCTGTGGACAGGTGTCTCACTCCCATCTGTCTCAGACCTTCCACTTTGCTTTTGTGAGCTGAGCAAATCAATGTGATCATTGTAACTATGCTGGGTTTTTCCACGTGGGCGGCTGCATTTCAGTTGGCTACAGTTTCCCTGAGGGAGTGATGTGCTTGCCTGTACACTTGCATTTCTGGATCAGCTGTGGGTGTATCTTTTTTTTCTATCTTTTTTTGAATTAAGGTCTGCCTATGTAGGGCAGGGTCGGCTTGAACTCATTATGTAGCCCAGGCTGGTCTCAAACTCTTAGCAATCTTCCTGTCTCAGCCTCTAGGGCCTTGGCATTATAAGCATGCACCACCATTCCTGGCTGGATATGGGTAATTTTGAAGGAAAAGTCTTTGCAAGGGTGAGTGGGTCTATACCTGTGTATGTGTCCCAGGAATATACTTGTCGGGTCCTTAGAGTGGAACTATGAGCTTGTCTTCAGGGGCAAGTGGAGAGATTAAGAGGGATACAGTATATCTGTCTAAGTGCTGCTGTGGGGGTCTTTCCTGTATATATTTGTCTACTTGTGTGTCTGTCTGGGATCTCCTAGAGGGTGGAACTGGGGTGGTGGACAGAGCCCTGACAGAAGAGTCTAAAATATAGGTCCTGCTGAGCATGGTAACACATGCCTGTGATACCAGCACTCCAGGAGGCTGAGACAGGAGGATCGTTGTGAGTTTGAGACCAGACTGAACTACAAAGTGAGCTCAAGGTCAGCTTGAACTGCATAGTGAGACCCTGTCTCAAAAAGACAATAAAATAAAATAAAATACAGGTCCTGCTGGGCATGCCTGTAATCCCAACACTTGGGAGGCTGAGGCAGGAGAATCACTGTGAGTTCCAGGCCAGCCTGGGCTACCTAGTGAGTTTAAGGCCAGCCTTAACTACATAGTCAGATCCTGTCTCCAAACAACAACAACATTAAAAACAAGTCTTAGCTCAGATTCACTCCATGGTCTGGCCTCAATTTCCTCCTCTGTAAAGTGAAGAGACTGAGTCACCAGTAACCATGTAGGCCTTCCTTGGATTGCAGAGGGATATGCTTGATTCCTGAGTTAATTGCTGTTTAGGGATCAAATGGAAGACACCTCATTGTAGAGGCTTTGGGCTTGGACAGACTGGAGTTGAACACCACCGTGCAGTATGTGGGCTGTGCGTCCTTTGGAGTCACTTCTCTCCCTCTCAAGTGTCATCACAATTAAGAGAATAACAGGTAAAGCATTGGCCTGGTGCCCAGTTCCTACCCTTTAGAGTCTGAAGTCTTCATCATAACCTACTAATTCAGGTCCAGGGGGGACGCTGCCCCTCTCCACCCTGGCTCCACATGGCACTTTTCCTTCTGGCCCTGCAGGCTGCTGAGCTGAGGAGTAACAGGCCACAGGGTGGAGCCGGGTCAGGTAAGGCCTTGGGCTCCCCGACATGTCCATGCCTGCCTGCCTGCCAGGGCGGGTATCCAGCCTGGGCAGCTGTGCCCCATGATCGACACTCCTGGGGGTGGGGGCATTGCTTTGCTGCTGGCATAGATGGCCTTAGGATCCCGGAGGCCTGGGGACATACAGGAGACCTCTGTGACTCCTATCCCCTCAAGGCCTCTAGAATGGCCGCGTTCCAGCAGGGTCATCACAGAAAGCCAGGTCTCAGCCTGGGCTGGTAGGGGTGCCCACCCTGGAATCCCCTGGAGCCTGTTAGAGCTGGCGGCTCCTGTGCCCTCCTGAAATATCCCTGACCCGAAGGGAATGAGGGAGGGGTCTAGGGTGCAGCCTAGCTTGCTGAGTTGGGAAATGCTCTCCAAGTAAGCTCAGGATGGCCCAGGCCCTAGGGCAGGCTGGGAGAGGGTCTGTTCTGCAGGTCACGTTGGTCCCTGCTTGGACCCCACACAAGACTGGCTGGGTGGTCTCTCAGCTGCAGAGGTTACCAGGGAGCTGAGGGTCACGTGAGCTGTGATGACCCTCTACGGGTCTTTGTGATTCTATCATGTTTGGCTAGATCTTTTGGGGCCAGAACTGGGAATTTTCCTACTGAAAGAAAGAAAGAAAGAAATGAAAGAAAGAAAGCGAAGGAGCAGTGGGTGGGTTGTGGCCAAAGTAATGTGTTTAAGGAAATTTCTCCATCATGCTGGCCAGGACAGGGAATGTCTGGTCAAAGCGCCGCTGACGGCCCGGGTCTCTAAGTAAACAGGCCGCCTCCGAGGCTGCCCTGAGCTCATTTCCCTCGGCATTGTGAGGGGTGAGGTCACTTCGAGAGGGGCCTCTTGGTCACGAAGTTTGTCAGTGAGCAGGACAGAGGCTCCGTGGTCTCTGGGGGCTCTGAGCCCTGCAGCCCAATTATTACAAACAGCTGCTTTCCAGACAAGCTGCGCCGTCACCCTCCTACACAACCCCTCCTAGAGGACTCGGGCCACATCCTGAGCCCACAGTGGTAGACATGCTGCTGGGGAACCTAGGATAACTGTTCTGGGCCCTGGCTTCCAGCAAGGCTTCTCTCTCCATTAGAGCTGGGCCTTTCCTCGCCCACAGAGAGGGGCATGAGGCGTAGAGGTGTAGGGAGGCCCTGTGCAGAGTGGACAGTGATGATATGCCCTGTGCCTGTCACCTGGGGCCAGGCAGCTGGGTCCTGAGGGAGTTTCCATGAGCAGAGAGCCCAGCCAGGGAGGCCAAGAGGGGTGTCAGAGATGCCACAAAGCCCGCTCTGTGCCTCCTCCACAACTCTTCCTGAGCACTGAGCTGCAGGTGACACTTTTATGGGGTTGAAAAGGGCGTGGCAGCCAGGATTTGGGACAGGCTCAGCAACACCTCCATGTCCCCCTGGCTGGGAAACTGGGAACACTGAGCCTCCAAGAGGTTCTGAAACTTCTGGCGAAAGACTTGGGCCTTCCTTGTGCTTTTGTGTATCCTCCAAATCCAGGGCAACTTCGAGGGGCTCATCTGTCACACAGGTTCACCCAACACCTCTCAGAGCTTCCAACCAGCCCACTCAGTGCTACTGCGCAGCTCCAGGATGACCAGAACCTCAGGCTGACCAATGGGCTTGCAGAGGACTCCACGCATCCCTGACCACGGTCCAGCTGATTCTGTCACTCATCCAACAGGGTCCCTCAGCACCCCACCTCAGCTGTGCCAAGAGTTATGCTGATTCAGAGGATACAAGACAGACAAGATCCCTGCTGTAGGGAGTGGAGAAGTATGGGGGACCTGGCCAAGATCCCCAACTACCTGTATGAGGGGTATGGCAAAGGATACAATAAGAAACAGAGACACATTTAGTAATGCATGATGGAGGGCTGGGAGGTCAGTGCCTCAGGATGGACAGAGACCCAGATTCTCCAAACCAGCCACTGTTTATTAGGTGTGTACCATGCAGTGGGTGTCTACAATGACAGGAGGGGCTAGTAGAAGATTCCAGGTTGGCAGAGGATTCAGAGGTTGATGACACTGCAGGCAATGGGATGATTCAAGAGGGTGGAGATGGTCTTATGCTAAGGAGGCTCTTACTCTGGAGTGTTCTTTTCCGTTTTAGGTGTCTTAGAGTAGTTTTAGTGGGTGGGAGAGGATGGCCTATCCCAAGAGTTAATGGGAAATCTCATAATCCCAAATCTCCATGTATCCCTTAGAGAAGTATGGAGAATTAGCTACTGTGAATCCACTTTTGTGGTCCCCAGTAGAGAAGTAAATGATGAAGCTGGGTATGGTTGACACATGCTGGTAATGCCAGCACATAGGAGGCTAAGGCAAGTTTGAGGCCAGCCTGAGCTACATAGTGAGACCCTGTCTCAGAAAACAAATAGAAATCCACCCAGACATATAAATGCGTGAATGTTTATAAGAGTTTTACTTGCCAGCTGGGATTACACACCTGTAATCCCAGCACTTGGGAGGCTGAGGCAGGAGGATCTTGTGAGTCTGAGACCAGCCTGGGCTACAAAGTGAGCTCGAGGCCAGTTTGAATGCACAGTGAGACCTTGTCTCAAAAAAGAAACAAACAAATTTAAATGAACTAAAACTCAAATGTTCATCATCAGGAAAATAGATAAGTTACAAAGCTTTCATATAGTGGGATGCTTATGTCCCAGAATAAAGACAGATGAATTCTTGACTGTGAACAATGTGGATAAATCTCAAAATCAGCCAGTCTTGTAAAAAAAGTATTTTATATTATATTGTTCCATGTAAGAGGATTCTAGAAAATGAGCTGGGTGTGGTGGCACATGCCTATAATCCCAGCACTCATGAGGCTGAGTCAGGTGGTTTGCTGCCACTGTCTGAGTGAGATGCTGGTGGGTGTGGCGACAGGGGACATGGAAGGCAGTGGACCAACGTGAGGTGTTTTGAGACCTAAGCTGTAAGACTTGCTGGAAGTTTGGCTATAAGACAAGGGGCCAGCAGAGAAATCTGGGTGGGTGGGTGCCTATAAAAACACTGCGGCTCTGTTATCTGGGGAAGCCTGGTGCAGGAACAGCTTCATGAGTGGGGATCTCTCTATCTCTTTGCAATTCTGGTGATTGAACCCAGGGCCTCTGCACTGAGCTATACTCCCAGATCTTTGTTATTTTTTATGTCCAGACAAAGTCTCATTAAGTTGTTAAATTTCCCAGGTTGGGTTTGAACTTGCCATCCTCCAGCCTCAGCTTCCCAGAGGGCTGAGATTACAGGCATGGGCCACTACGCCCAGCAAAAGGTCCTCTGTTTGTCCCTGGAGATGCATGGGCCCCGGAGAAGAGTCTGGGTGGAGATGAAATTTGGAGGATGTTAACAAATAAATCGTATCTGAAAGCCAAGGGAATGGTGAGAACGTGCAGGGAGAGAGGTCAGAGGATATGAGGACTGCACCAGGGCTGCAGCACCTTGATGTCCCCTTCAGGAGGGGACCTGAAAAGCAAGCGCACCCAGGAGCAGCAGCTGGACAGGGACCTGGCTGTGCTCCTGTCCTGGGGCTCAGGTGAGAAAGCCCTGAAACACCCAGAAATGTATTCACTGCCAGTTCTGGAGGCCAGAAACTCAGAATCAGATCCCTGGGCTGAACCTGAAGCGTTGGCAGGGACGCTCATCATGGGGAATTCGTGCCTGGACATGGTGCAGCCGGCTGCTGCTTTTTTCCTAGTCCCCTCCTCTCCCTCCCGCCCCTCTCCCTTCCTCCTCATTTACTGAAGCTCTGTTTCCATTTTTTCCTTCTTTTTTCTTCTTGTCACTTCTTTCCTTTCGCCTGCCCCTCCCTTTTTCCCTTTCTTATTAGAACATTTTCTGCCCATTTCCCTGTATCTATCATACACTTGGGTCCTTTAGCTTTCTTACACCAGAGAAACAAAGCAGTATTTAAACGTGTGTGTCCAATTTATTTCTCTTAAAATTATGATCTCAAGTACATTCATTTAGATAAAATGTCTCAAGCTTATCCTTTATGAAAGAGTAGTACTCCATTGTATAAAAAGCCACATCTTCTTTATCACAAGTTGATGGCACTAGTTGATGAGATTTAGATATTACAAATTGGGGTACTTTACATATAGGTACACAAATATCGCTGTGGTTCGATGCTTTTAATTCTTTCATGAAGATACCAAGAAGGGGAATAGCTGGGTCAAATGGGCCTCCAGTACGAGTTTTGTGAGGAACCCCCACACTGATTTCCACGTGGTCACACCAGTCTACACTCCCTGCCAACAGCCCACAGTGGAGAAAGGTTCTTTTCTCCCCCACAACTCCTCCAGCATTTGTTATTGGTTGATTTCTTGATGATAGCCATTCTTTCTGGAGTGAGACAGAATCTCTGTGTGGTTTTAATTTGCATTTCTCAAGTGACCAATGATGCTGAACATTTTTTCATATATTCATTTGGCATTTCTAGGCTTCATCTGAGAAATGTCTGTTTATTTCACATACCCATTTTGGACTGGGTCTTCCAATTCGGGGGGTGGATTTTTTTTTTTTTTTTAAATTCTGGCTACTAGTCTTTTGTTTGAGGAGCAGCTGGAGAAATATTTTCCCCCACACTGTAGGTTGTCTCTTCACTCTGTTAGTGGTTTCTTTTGCTGTGCAAAAGCTTTTTAATAAGAGGATATCCCAGTTGTTGATTCTCTGTGATAGTTCCTGTGCAACTGGGGTTTTAAAGTCTTTGTCTAGACCAGTGCTTTCAAAAGTTCTGCCTATTCTATCTTCCAGCAGATTTAGTGTTTCTATTGTAGTATTTAGATCTTTGTTCCATTTTGATTTTAGGTTAGTGCATGGTAAAATATATGTGTCTAGTTTTAATCTTCAACATGTAAAAAGCCAGTTTTTCCAGCACCATTTATTAAAGACGTTGTCTTTCTTCCTGTGAACATGTTTGTCAAAGCCAAGATGGCTAAGTATGTTTCAAGTTGTTTCTGCATCTTCTAATCTGTCCTGTTGATCCTCAGATCTGTCCTCCTCTCCAGTACCATGCTGTTTTTATCACAGTAGCTTTGTAGTATAATCTCATCAGGGGTTGTAATGCCCCTGCTTTTTCTTTGTCATCCAGAATTACTTTTGCTCTTCTAGGTTTCTTCTCATTACAAATGAATTGTGGGATTGTTTTCTCTAATTAGGTGTGCTATGCTATTGATATTTTGATCAGGATTGCCTTAAATTGTACAACCATTTTGGAAGTATGGCCATTTTCACTATATTGATTCTTCCTACCCAAGAACAAGAAATATTCTTCCATTTTCTGATTCCTCTTCAATCTCCTTTTTTAGAGTACTGTAGTTTTCAGTATTGAAGTCTTTTACTTCCTCTGTTGATTGATTCCTAGATATTTCACTTTGGGGGGGGTGCTATTATGAAGTGTTATTTCCCTAATTTCTGTTTTTAAATTTTATTTATTTTGGGGGAGTGAGTATTGGGAATTGAACTCAGGACCTTGTGCTTACCAGGCAAGTGCTTGTGCCACTGAGCTATGTCTCCAACCCCTTGTTTCCCTGATTTCTGTCTCAGTGAGTTTGTTATTTGTGTACAGGAATCCTATTGATTTTTGAATGTTGACTTTGTATATAGCTATGTGACTGAATTTGCTTATTAAATCTAAAAGTCTTTGGGTGGAGTTTTTAGGATCTTTGTAGAATATCATGTCAACCACAAATAATGTTAATTTAACTTCTTCCTTTCTTATCCTTATTCCTTTTATTTCTCTTTTTAAATCTAATTGCTCCAGAACTATATTGAAGAAGAGCAGTGACCGTGGATATCTTTGTCTTGTTCTTGATTTTATTTATTTATTTTTATACCAAGAATCGAACTTGGCACCTCGCATTTGCCAGGCAGGCGCTATGCCATTGAGCTATATCCTTGGCCCTTGTTCCTGATTTTAGACTGAAAACTTCTGGGTTTTGTCCATGTACTATGATGTTGATTGTGGGATTTTCATAGATAACTGTTTTTCTTTTTGGGTACCAGGAACTGAACTCAGGACCTCACATTTGCCAGGCAGGTGCTGCACCACTGCTAAATCCCTGCTTTCTGTTACAGGTAACTTTTATCAAATTGAAATAAAGACCATCTGTTCCAAATTTCTGTAGGACTTTTAAAAATCATAAGTAGGTGTTGGACTTTGTCAAATGCTTTTTCTGCATCTGTCGAGATGATCGTATGGTTTTTGTCCTTGGCTCTGTTAATCTGGTGTATTACATTTATTGATTTACATATGTTGAGCCATTCTTGCATCCCTGGGATGAATCCTATGTGGTCATGGTATATAGTCTTCTTGATGATTTGCTGCATTTGTTTGCCAGTATCTTGTTGAGGAGTTTGGCATCTGTGCTCACTAGGGATATTTGGCTGTAGTTTTCTTTCTTTTTTTTTGTTGTTGGATACTTCTCTGGTTTTAGTATCAGGGTAACACTTGCTTCCACAAATGTATTTGAGAGTATTGCTTCCCCTTCAATTTCAGTAAAGAGTTTGAGAAGTAGTGGTGATAGGTCTCTAAATTTCTTGTAGAATTCAGCAGTGAATCTGTCAGGCCCTGAGTTTTTCTTTGTTGACAGTTTTTTTGTTTTGTTTTGTTTTGTTTTGTTTTGTTTTTTGTCTTTTTCCTTTTTATCGGTACCGGGGATTGAACTCACGACCGCCTGCTTGCAAGGCAGGCGCTTATGCCGCTGAGCTAAATCCCCAGCCCCTGTTGACAGGTTTTTAATTACATCTTCAATTTCCTTGATTGATATTGGATTATTTAGGATTTTGATATCTTCTTTATTCAGTTTTGGTAATTCATATGTATCCAGGAATCTGCCCATCTCTTCTGTATTTTCCATCTTTTTGACTATAAGTTCTCAAAGTAGGTATACATGATCTTCTGAATTTCTGCAGGATTTGTTGTGATTTCACCCTATTCATTCCTAAATGCATGTATTTGAGAATTTTCTTTCTTATTTTTTGATAAGACTGGCTAAAGGTTTGTCAATTTTATTTAATCTTTCAAAGAACCAACTCTTCAATTGATTAATTCTTTGTATTGTTTTTTAGTCTCCAGTATGTTACTTTCTGCTCTGATCCATATAATTTCCTCCCTTGTATGAGCTTTTGGCTTAGCCTGCTCTTCTTTTTCTAGAAGTTTGAGGTTCGCCATTGAGTTGTTTATATGTACTTGCCCTGTTTTCCTGATATGGGCATTTATTGCTATAAATTTTCTTCTTAAGACTGCTTTCATTGTGTCTCATAAGTTCTGACTTGTTGTATTGTTGTTATTATTCAATTGTAAAAATTGTCTAATTTCTTCTTTCATCTGTGACCAGTTGGTTTTTCAGTGGGGTTTTATTTAATTTCTATGTGTTTTTGAAGTTCTCGTGGCTTCTTTTGCCAAGGATTTCCAATTTCATTGCACTGCGGTCTCATAGTATGAATGGAATAATTTGAATTCCTTTGCATTTACTTAAACATGTTCTGTGGGCTAGTATATGGTGTATTTTGGAGAACATCCTGTGTGCAGCTGAGAATATATATTCTGATGTTGTAGGGTGGAACACTCTACAGACAACTACTGAGCCCATTTGCTCAAAAGTTTGGTTTGGTTCTAGTATTTCATTACTAATTTTTTGTGTTGTTGATCTGTCTTTATGTGACAGTGGGATATTGAGATCTCCCAATATGATTACCTTAGGGCTTATTTGATTTTTCATGTTTATTAGTATTTGTTTTATATAGCTGGGTGCACTGGCATTTGTTGTATATATATTTATGATTATTATCTCTTCCTCTTGGATTGTCCCCTTTATGAGGTTATAATGGCCTTCTTCTTTTTTTTTTTCTTCAGTATGATGTACCTTTATGCCTTCTTTATCTCTGTTAATCAATCTTTGCTTGAATTCACTTAGTCTGCAAATAGAATAGCTATCCCTGATTTTTTTTCTAGGTTCTTGTTGCATAGAGTATTGTTTTCTATCCTTTGACTTTCAGTCTATGAATTTCTTTTTGAATTAAATGTGTTTCTTGCATGCAGTGTATTGTTGGATCCATTGTGCCAGTCTGTGTCTTTTGATTGGTGAACAGAGACCTTTAACACTGATGATTATAACTGATATGTACTGACCTATCCATGTCATGTTATTTTCCTATTGTGTCGCCTCCTCACTTTGTTACCACTTCAGAGAGTCCACGTGGGTGGCTTTTGAATTCTTCCACCTCATTGCCCAGGTTTTGCCTTTGGTGAGCTGGAAGTCTGGGATTACATCTTGTTGAAATGTCTTCTCATTTTCTGTTTTCTTTTTTTAGTTTTATTTCTGGGTTCATGCTTATAAATTAATTATAGCAAGTAGCTTTATTGCTAGTATTTAGAACCCTTAAGAAAGGACTACTTCCCAGAAGCGTCTTCTAGGAATATGGCTTTTGGGTTTTCAGTCTGTTGCAAGGTCCTACCTCTTCAGTTTATTTGGAATGAAAAATTGCTGCCTATTTGGCCTGGCCCATGGTTCTTTGACACTGGCCTATAGCATTTTTTATAACCTTAAGCAATGTTAGTCTTGGCATACAAGGAAGAACAATTGATTAGAACAATTATGTCACCATGGATAAAGCAGTGCAATCAGCAATAACAGTAGCATCAAACACAACCTAGAAAATGGCAAAATGTGGTAATTATTAATTTGCTACATTTAACCATAGAACTAGATCTAATAAAATCTAAAACAAATCAGAAAATTGTATACAGTAAATATGTTCTCAGTATGGTGATTTTACCCTCAAGGGGGAAAATAGAGAAATAAGAGGAAGAGATTAGAAGCAAGGCTGGAGGACAAAGGAAGGTTATGCAAACTTTGGGAAAGGAGCGAAGAAGACAGGACAGAAAGAGAGAAGGAAGAAATTAAAACAAGAACAGAATAATAACAAAAACGCCAGAAGCAATGTCCACAGTCATATAAAAATAAGAACATAAAACCAAGAGAAAAGAAAAGACAGAAAATAAGAAAAAAGCACGTCCACTTCAAGGCATGTCAGTTGTAGACAAAGTGGGCAGATAAGAGTCCAGATTCACACTGAGTAATCCCAAAAGCCAGCCGCAGATTCATGGAGCAACGGTTAGTGGGTAATCCCAGCAAGCCTGCACCTTAGTTCCACTGGAGTTCAGGCTGGTTTCTGGCTGTGAGGCTGGAACCTGATTTGTTCAGCTGGCAGCGCTCCATGTGCCTCCTGGTGGCTTGAACTCAGCTCCCTGCCAGTTTTAACTCCGCTCCTTGACCTCCTGCCAACTTGAGCTCAGTTCACCTTGCTGTTGGGAGCCACTAGATAGAGCCTGTAGCTGCTCCGATTCTGAGCTCAGTTGGCCTCTGTCCAGGATGACTACCGGCTAGTTGCCCTGTCTAGGGGTACATCTGACCCTGAATAGCTACCAGCAGTTCACTCTGTTTACTGCTCTGTGGAACTGGTCTGTTTCTCTGTAGAGGCTTCTGGGATTGTCGGTAATCACCGTGTGTCTGAATGTTCAAGTCGCCTCTTCCATGGGGTGAGTCAGGGCTCGGTGAGAAAATGCACCCTGCACCACCTCCTTCTCTATTGGAGTCTCTCTCTTTGCTCCCTCCATGGGCTTCAGTTCTCTCTTTAGATCTTTACTGGGTCCCAGGGGTCCACTTCTCTCCTTCTTTTCTTCCTCACATTGCTGTATCCCAGTGTCTGGACACCAGTCTCAGAGAGGGTCTTGCTCTAACTATGAACCACTCTGCCATCCTCTACCTCACTCTGATAACACCTGTCATACAATTTTGAGTCCACATACCTAAGCCAGCATGTTCCCTTTATCATGAGATCTTTAATTGCATCCACAAAGATCCTTTTGCCAAATGAGGTCACATTGACAGGTCCAGCAGAGGAGGCATGTCTTTGGAGATCACCTGTAAAGCCACCACATCAAGGGCTGGGATATAGCTCAGTGGTACAATGCCTGCTTGGCAAGCACAAGGTTGTGAGTTCAATTCCTGGTACTCATACATACACACACAAAGACAAAACCCATCACATCAGCTGACAAATGGAAGCAAAGGCTTATTGAGCACTATAAGGTATAATTGTGTGACCCCACTCCTCTCTCGGGCAGGAGATATAGCCTAGGGCTGCAGCTGCCTAGAGCGGGGACAGGAGGGCCTCAGGGGAGTGATGCAGACGGGAGCCTCCCGGCCTCCCAGCCCTGACTCAGCGTCTGGTGGGTCCATCCACACCCGCGGCAGCCAAAGCCGCTTGAAGTCGCACATCTGTTCGCATTGCTCTCCAGGGTGTGACCCGCCAACAGCTTTCACGTGGAAACGGGGACCCTCACATGCTCTGTGGCCCGGCCCACCCAGCCTCTGCTGTTTCATATCAACTGTCCCTGTGGTCCCCAGATGTGGGCTGCTTCTCAGCCACTGTCCCTCTGCCCCAGGAGTCTTGCCCTGGTGTCTCTCCTGCTGGCAGGCTCTTTAGCTCCTTCCTCGATTTCACATCCATGATGCTTCAGATCTCAACCCTGATTTCTCTTCTACAGGGAATTCTCCCTTGTTCCCTGGTCCAGATCATACAAATGTGCGATGTAAATTACTTTTCTTCCAGTACTGGGCCTGGAGCCTAGGAACTTGTGCTTGCTAGCTAAGTGCTGAACCACTGAACTACATCTTAATCCCTTTACAAAATTTTACTCTGAGACAAAGTCTCACTAAGTTATTCACTTTGACTTTGCAAATGTCCACCCTCACACTCTGCCCTCCCTCCCAGCTTCTGGGAGTATAGTCTTGTACCACTGGGCCTGACTAGATTTTCATGGCTCCCTGGCCTCATCTTCCTAAGCACTATCACGGTCCACCATTGTATAGGTATTTGTAATTTTTTTTTTTTAAGAGTTAGGGGTTTTCCTGTGTGGCCTGAGCAAGATTTGAACTCCTAGGCTCAAGTGATCTCCCTGCTTCAGCTTCCCTAGTAGCTGGAACTACATGCATGTGCCACCACGCTTGGCTCTGTAATAATGGGGAATAAATCCAGTATTTATTTTTTAATTTTAAGAAATGATCCTGCTAAGTTGCCCAGGCTGGCCTTAAA